TGGTTTGTAATTACTGAAAAATATGTGAGATCTAGTAAATCCTCCCCACTGAGAAAAAGTGGGCCATATCTACATTTTTTGTGTGTTTGATGGAGTTGGAGTGGGAGTGCTTGGAGGGAAAGGATAAGAGTTTGCACTTTGGCTAACTGGAGAACAGATGTGGCTTCTAGTGTGAGCTAAAGCTTGGGGGTTTTGCAGCTTTCTATGCATTGCATTCCATGCTTGTGGGAGTTTTGTCTCATCCTTTTAAAAAACCAGACATCCAGCTGCTCCAAGGGGATGATGCTTGTCTGTAGCTATGACTAGAAGAGGCCACAAAAATATTTATGCTAAAACTAGATGGGAATTTTTTTTTTGCTTTTGAAGTTGAATGTGTCATGGCAAAGAATTCTGTTACAGTTGTCTCTTTGTAGTATCCTAATCCAAATGGGAGCAGTGGTGAGAATAGATTTGTTTCTCTCTATATTTAATTGGACAACAAATGTATGCGATTTTATTTTGTTTACAGAGTTGGTCAAGATAACCTCCAGAGGTTTGTCCCAACTGAATTTGTTCTACAGATCTATTTCTGAGTGGTTAATGAAGTGTTAAATGAACCAGAAATAATACTCTGAGTATTAACTGCTGGGTTTTTTTTGCTCTTGCAGCACTGGTATAGTATTAACTTTAACAAAATCCAAACAAACAGACCCACGCAATCAATCAAACAAAAAATCTAGCACAAAACCAAGCCCAGCTGGGAGGTAGAGGGAATGAAACTGATTTAGAAAAGAAAAAGAGGCATTTTTATAAATTCTGTACGTTAACTTGTAGTCATATGGAAATGCAGCAGACTGAGTACAGTTAATGTAAATCTGGATCTGACTTCTCAGTCTAAGCGATACTTAATGTTTTTGCAGCATGTATGTTGTTTTATAAGGCATGTATCTACACTTGATTTCTAGAAAAGTATTTTTCTAGTTAATTCTGGGCACAGATTATGTGCAAGGCAGTCTAAGATGCCTGTGTATTTCAAAGAAATGTGAGGGACAGTAGACATCATCAGTTGTTCTCTATTTCCAGTGTTCTTAAAGCCAGCAAAGCCAGAGATAAAAGCACTTGGTCAGTTGTGTCTGCTAAGTAACCTCCCTGGGAATGGTTATAGTCTATCTTTGGAAAACTGTGCTCACATACCCAAGCTCCAGAAATGTAAAAACTAAATTCTAAGAGGCCAGCTTACCTTTGTCAAGTTGAACAGGAAAAGTTATGGAGCACTGGTGAAGCTCTTGCTTGACTTGTGGCAGTAGAAGTGTCTACTTCAGTCGAGTTTAAGAGCAAACAGTTGGGACAAACGTACAGCTTTAGGTTCAGTGATCTCTGGTTTCATGTCCTGTTGCTTTTCATCAGTAGAGGGTTAGATAAATCCCAAAGAGACTGGGGTTTGTTGTTTGGGGTTTTTGTCTATTCGTTAACATATTTGCTTTAATTTGCTTACCTTCAAGGGTTTTGATGCAGAAAAACCTTGGCAGTTTTGCCTACACCTTCTGATTAAAGAAACATTTACAAATGTAGCTCTTGAGGGTTGTGAACCACAAAGCAAATTTGTTGAGCACAGGAGACTTACTGAATTGACTAAAACTGACTGTAAATTCCCTGAAATTTTGAGACAGCTGAGTCACATTTATTGTAATAAATCTGTATATGCTGACCCTTTTTTGCAGCAAAGAAAGGTAGAGAAACATCCCTTGGGTCATTTTTTCTCCAACAGAAAAGAAAGAAAGCTGGATGGTTGCCTCCTAGATTATACATGTCAGAAAACTTATCTGTCATTAAGAGTTCACTGCTTTTCTTTTTTTCATACTTCTTAGTCTTTTGCCAATACTTAATCTAGCAGTTAATGGTGATGAATGACTCTTGCCCAATATGTTCCAAGACATATTCTGATTCCTGATTTTTAACTCTTGTTGTTAAATTGGGTCCCGTTCCTTCCAAAAACATGAATTTTCTGGTGAAATTACATTTGTTGTCTTGGAAAAGTGGCCCTATCTGTCAGCTCTTTAGCAGTGGATCCTTGCAGAAGACACTGAATTGTTAAATATAAAATTACTCCTTGTTGCAACCTTAGTCCTTCTCTTAGCAATCAGCAAAGATTGTCAACAAAGAAAGAAATTTTTGAACATCCTCAAAATGCAAGAAACTTTGAACATTGCTGAAAGGAAAATGTTCAAGATTCAGCATTTCATCTGAGACTAATCAGCCATAAATAAAAATATATGCATGTTCTGTGATCTGAATCTAATAGAACAAAATTTCCAGTACCTTGGGACTTTGACATCTGACTTGCTGGAAAAGTGAGGAGTTTGATCTCTGCAAAGACGTTGGCAAACTAAATATGGAGTGCTTGAAAATACAAGTGCAAAAGAGGGAGAATGAGCAGAGGGGTAAAGGCTTGTTTACCAGGCAAGCAGAGTGGAGAGGAATTGTTTCTTTCTCAAACTACTCAGTTTCATTTCTGACAAAACTCAGTAAATGTGCTTTTGTGACAAGGAATGTTATGATCCAGCTTTGGTGCTTGTGCCATTAAGATACTTTTCATTAAATCTGGAAAACACTTAACTTGGCTCTTAACTACAGGCACAGTTTGAAAGATGGAAGTTAATAGTGCTAACATAAGAAGTTTCTAGATAGAGCTAACTTCCTCTGGGAAAAGGGAAGTGAAAACTACCATTCCAAATACTCCACAATATGCCTGTGGTGTCATTAAACTGCTTAGAGTCTAAAACATACCACTTAGTATTCTTTTTTTTTTTTTTTTTTAATTCCCAGCTCTTTAGAGAATAATCAGGAAATGCTGTGACTAATAATAAAAGTGGAAGTGATACTAATAACACTGAAAATTGCTCTTCTGCTTTTGTGGATGTTGAACAACCAGTTCCACTTACCAGTTTATCAAGGCAGTCTCTACTAGTGGGAGTGAAGCGATAGATATATTGTGTTTTATCTTCTTGCAGTTTCATGCTGTTACCTCTGAAATCTTCGATTTTAACGTGTTAAGTACAGTAAAAGAGCACTTGTCCTAAGAAAGCCTCTGGTGTGTAAGAGCTAATTTTTAAGCAACAACCAGACATCTGGAATAGTCTTGATTGTGGTGTATAATTGAGGATGTGCCTGTGACTTCCGCTGCCAGTCTAGCAAGTTTTTTACAAAGTTTAATTTGTGTTAAATTGCATTTGTATTTTAGTGTAAAATGACAACATATGAAATTGTAATTCTGTAATTGGAGAGGATAAATACATACAGTTACATGAAGTTTTGGAAAAGAGATTGCTAGTTAAAAGAAAGAGCTTAAATTGATTTTAACATTTTATTTGAGAAGGTAGAGATTAACTCTTTTGCTTGTGTTCAACTAAGGTTGAACATCTAAAATTCTAATAACTTGCCTTCCTCTTCAACTTGCTCTGAAATGGAGGATAAAGCACTGAAGTTGTTATCACTGCTCAGCAGCACTGCCTTGATCTCAGATAGCTCCAGCTGGGAATGTTTTTTCAGTTCAGGAGAGATGGCAAAAACTACCACCAAGAGATAAAGATGAAAACAGAAGCCAACAGGCAATAAAACGGCAGAGTTTATATATAAAGAAAAGGATAGCAAAACCTATTCCTGACTATGGAAACTTCTTGAATATGTTGTCAAAGTGCTTTGTAATCCAGCTCTTCAAGTCTTCTTTCATCACCTCTTTTCCAGGTTTTTCATTGTACATCAGCAGATAGCACAGTATCACAAACAGCTTCAGGGAGATATGAGAAGTGTAACCATGATTATAGATTGCAGTCTCTTGTTGTTCTGGTATATGAGCAGGTTATTTATTTAAACAACAAAAAAGATGCTTTGCGAGATAGATACGCTTCCCTAATTGGTGTTCTTTTAATGGGTGGAAATGAAATCCAAAACACTTGAGCTTTTGTGGTCTTCTGTTCTATTCCACCATTAAACTTCACCAGGCTGGAAACTGGTTTCAGTCTTTTGGAACATACACACCTACAAAAACATTAATGAAATGTTTCCAAAGAACCATCCATGCATTTAAAAAATACTTCCTTTTTTGTGCAAATGTGTAAAATTCTCTCAATAGTGGTGACTGATTACTACCAGTACCTTTTTGGCCTTTTTTTAAAATAAAGACCTTTCAATTTAATCTGTCCTTCTTACAGAGCTCTGACTGTAGTAGTAGGTTGCATGTGCCTTAGTCTCAAACCATTTAATCTGGATATGAAAGTGATTTTCTAAACTGGGAAGCTGGGAAATCCTTAAACTACTGCAGAGATGTGACTGATAGTCACTGCTTAAATAACTATGAGCTTATGTCACATCTTTGGGAAGTTCATGTTCGCTACAAACATTATCTATTTTGACAAAGACTAGCCATTTCTTTCTGATGCATCAACCACAAATTGCTGGTATGCTGACCTTGTTAGAGAAACATTTTGGGTTACAGCTTGAAGTAGAGGAGTAAAGGGATGCACAGCACACAGCTTCATGTCTAAGTAACCGCACGCTTTACCGTGCTTGTGTTGCACAACATGGTTTGCAGAGCAGATGCTGTAAGGAAAGGGGTAATAATATTTGCAGCATCTGCCTTAAACACTTGCTCAGTGGTGAAACTTCTTGCAGAGCACCAGAGCTGCCTCTGCATGAGCCACAAGAATGAGCAGTTTCAGTTCTAACCAAAGGCGATGCTTTTCACAGCAATGCCCCACTGTGGTGTGTTCTAGAGCAAGTGTGTAACTGCACAAGCCAAGCAGTGTGGTCACAAAGAGGACACTTGGTTTTAGGGGATGTGTGCCTTGTATGACCTGAAGAGCAGACCCTTAATGACCACCAAAGTAAGACCTGACCATGTACAATTGAGACCACACCCACTCTCGCCTCTCATGCTAATGAAGAACCAAAAACCACTCCCACTCTGCCCCATGCTAATGAGGAACCAGAAAACCATGCCTACTCTTGCCTCTCATGCTAATGTGGAACCAAAAACCATTCGAGCTTCTTATGCTGACTGGAAGTTATCCAGGTGGGATTCTACCACCACTGTGAAGAAGCCCTGGGCACTGGAGGACCAACAGGACAGCGCAGGATCCATGGTGGTGACTCTCCTGCTTGCACACTCTCTCTCTCTCTCTCTCCTCTCTCCCTTATACACTTAATGTGGCAGAATATTGTTGAACAGGTATTTGGTCTCATTTGTAGCCTAATTTGTGCAGGGAACTTTAACATCAAATCGTAACAGATGCTTCTAACAGTCATGTACAGGAATGATAAACATTTGATTAAGGACGCTGAGGAACCGTGTCCCAGTTTACCAGAGCTGGTTTTGTGCTTCAGGCTGGAGCATGCAGGGCCTACTGACACACACAATCACAGTGAATCATGTTTGTTTGCTCTTGTTGAACACAAATGCAAATGTACTGATGTCTTGAGCATCATGATTATAGTATCCAACCTGTAAATGCTGAGAAAAACAGCTACAAGAAGAATAAATGCTCCTTGAGGTTTCAGAGAAACTTTGTTTTCTTTGTAACTTCCATGAAGCAGTCAGATAAGTTTACAAATTGGGAATTTAGTCCTGCAGTGTTGTTTCACATAGAAGGCTCAGTTATCCTATGTGCTTAGGTGCAATACACCTATGTGATCTGTGACCTTTAGGGAGATGAAGCCTGATGAGAACAATTAGAGGTGCCAAATTCTTTGCAGATGAATATTATCCCCTCTTGGTGTGGGGAGTAGGCAGGACAGTTTTGATCTGTTGAAAATATTTTATGGAAAAATGTTGCTGTTTACCTCTCAGCAGGGTTATCATCTACTGCTAAATAAATATTTAGTTAATCACCATTGACTGTATCACAAACAAGTGATAGGGAGTAGGACTTAATTTCAGACTAATCCTTGAAAAGCTGTGGTATTTTCCTGTTGTGATTGTAGCTTGTGTGGAAGTAGACAGCAGCTTCCACAGGGCAGGGTTTGCACGGAACCGGATTTGTTTGCTGCTGTCTTATTCCACGTGTCTTTGTAGAGGATAACCTGCTAAGAACTGTGTGAGTTTCAGGTCTTTATGGGACAAGTGTATTTAGCTGCAGAATTGAATTTTTTCATTACACTGGCTGTGCCTTTGTGTTAACTCTGCTACAAACTTCCTTCGCTCAACAAATGGTTTTGAAAAGGGAGCTAAGGAGTAGCTCAGTGGAGAAAGCATTGTTTTAGTTTTTCAGTTGAGGAGTTCAAACAAAAAGAAAAATAAAACAACCTACTTCCATGGCTTTTGCTGAGGCATGTGGTTCCTTACAAATCCTCTAACAAAAACAAAGTTGCATGCTAACCTCTGTTTGCCAGTAAATAAAAGATAATGATTTCTGCTAACTGAATTCAGTAAGTCCATGCAGACTAAACCCATGCTCCTGTTAAGTACTATTTGGCTACAGAAGTCTGTGAAGATAGCATAAATGGAAAGCTAATTTATATTTGGATTAAAGAACTGAAACTTCTGTCTCCAATTCACTGTTCACTATTAAAAGTCTGTGAAGATGCAAGAATGGTGCAATCCACTGCCACTCCAAAAGCTTTTTCTGATTTTACACCAGAATTGGTTACTTTCAGGGTCTGGAGTAACAGAAACAGTAGCAGAAACACTTTATCTCAATTTACAGTTTCTGCCAGAGTGCATCCTTAGAAATGTAATGTGGGAAGTAAACAAGATACTGTCAGTCTGAGTCTGATGTCTTTTTCAGCTGCTTCTTAGTAAAGAAAGGGCTCACAGGGTGACTATTCTGTGTAAAGGTGAATGTAAATTAATAATTGAGCCCTCTTGACACGGTTGCTTGTGTTAGGGAGGCAAGCGTAGCTGTGTGAGGTTTGCAGTACCTCCGGAGTTTTATTGCAGTTCTTTCCCTGCCTTTCTGGGTAGGGACAGTTAGGAGAGGAAATCTTTCCTTTTCCTCAGTGCAACTGGAGGTTCATTGTGCTGCAGCAACTTCTAAAAGCCAAGGTGACAAATCTGGGGAGATCAGCAGTGGGAAATGCCCTGGATCTGAGTTACAGGTCTGCTACCCAGCTGCTTATGTTGTGTGGGGATTCAGACTGGGCTGGAGCGCAGAACACCTGGATTAACTCTGCTCTGGTTCCTTGTCTGTATGCCAGCACTTCCTGTTTTTAAAGATCCTGTTTACTGTCTGCATTCCAAATATCCCAGGAAAGTAGGAGGATGGGAAGAAACATGGAAAGAAAAGTAAACAGCATTGTTTAAGGTGGAATTTTCTATATTTTTTTTAGTTATGTAACCAGCATTTGTTACTTTTCAAACGTGATCTCATTAGTTAAAGTCTAGAGTAAACTTTTGTTTACATCATCTGGCTCTAATTTCCAAAAGCAGAACTGCATGTGAAAGCTGACATTGAAACCACTAATATTTGCAGCAAAGAGAAGAGTATGGTTTTGTGGTGTGCTTTGGCTTCATGTTCTTCTTGATGTTCACATAAAACAATGTCAGCCATCTGAAATGTACAATTAAACAAAATATGTAATCAGGGGAAAACCTTATTTCTATAGGTACAAAATGGCATGTTGGTCTGATTTTATTGCCAAACTTTAAAGCTTTTGATTTAAACAGCTTGAAAGAATTTGGGTGCTGCTCACTGACCTTCAGAGCTCACAGCCTACCGTGGAAGAGCAGCACAGAGGTGGAAAGGTAATTCTCATCCTGCTACACAGCAAGCCAAGTTAATTGCTGAAATAATGAGTAAGCAGATATGTGAAGTGTAAAGAGATGATATGTTGCTTTTCTAATTCTTTCTTGTGTTTTATGACTGTTCGTCCTCTATAAATGATAAAATCCTGTCCTTTGAGGTGGAGCTAGAGGTGGAATTACTGAATGATTTTGAACTGAAAAGGAAAATTTAATTCCAGGCTTTTTCTTCGTTTAACAAAGAGAAAAAATTCTGCCTTTAGCTGGAAGAAAATGTTCTAGGACAGATATTCTGTCTTTGGTATGTCATGGGATCCCTAGGGAGAAGGCACTAGTGGGAGTTCTGGAGGTCACCAGCAACTTGAAAATGCTTCTTTCTCGTGATCCTGTTTTCATGGCTCCCAGACAGTGAGGGAAGCTATAAACACTGTGCCTGCATGGATAGGGGAGGGCGAGCAAGGGGATTTCAGAATTAAAATTCACAAAGGTCTTTTGGTTCACTTGGAGAGGAAAAAAATACTCCAGCAATAGTAAATCTTTTTAAACTGATCATCTTGGATTTGTTTCAGCTGTTTGATCCTGCAGCAACATAACACGAATAGTTCCTCTTGGGAAATACTTTCTAGTGAGTTCATCTTTTTTCAGGATGACCTCACCATTAATTTTAGTCATAGTACCTGAAAGTCACTAGGAGAGTATTGTATTCTGGAAAAAAAATCTGGATGTATGATAACTTTAAAGAGAACAACTCTGAAACATAGCTACCCCATAGTCTCATATCTAACTAAAGTGAAACTGCTTTTCAGTAGTTTCTAGTGAGGTTTTGCATTCACAGGAAAGAACAATTTTCTATTTCAGCAGTACTGTTATTCTACAGATGTTGCCAATAATTTTAAAGGGCTTTAGCTCTGTCTAGAATAAGGCAAATGTACTCAGCACTGTTTTTGAAGGATGGAAGAAATGGGTAACTACAAATATAATCAGTAGTGTTTATAAATAGTTGCCTGCTTCTGAAGGAAACGAAATGCTGTGATGTTTTTGATGGTGTTAGATCCTCCTGTTTGCTTCCCTTGGGCTGCTGTTTGCCATCAGATAAGGAGTTCCGGGTATCTGCACGTTTTCTGGGAAATAAGGACGAAAGCAATGCATATGAAATAAGACACGCCTGCAATGCAACAGTCTGCTGTTTTCTATTCTGAACAAGGCAATATTTTTACCAGTTACATCTGTGTTTAATAATGTTTTCATGGAGGACAGTTTCAAACATCTTTGTACTAGTCTTCCTGGATTCTGGAAGAATGCCAGCTTGACAAACAGGAAGAACAAAAGGACAGTACTCAAAATACGTAGTCTGGGGCAGTCTTACTGTCACCACACAGCAGGTTTGGACAGCAGCAAGATTAGACAGACAGCTCTGCCCAGTTCTCTTCATGTTTTAGAGTGCCTGATCTGTCTGATGGTGAGAATAAAACATTTTGGCATTTAGAGAGGTTGAAATGTCCCTTGCATTCTGAAAAGTGTTGTTCCTGTTCCAGGAACTCTTCTATTTGCACAAACTCAGAGCTTCTGTTTTGGGGATTCCACAGTACTTCATAAAAGCTTATTTGGGGTCATACCTGTAACTGATACTTCTGTCAGTGTGATAGAGGATCAGGAAAATCATTTAGCCTACACATGAGTGCACAGTAAATCAGAATCATAAATTGTTGGATTCTTAAATGAATAGAAGGCAATGCTAGGAGTCTAAAGGAAACTTCTATCTGGAAAAGAAATCAAATCCAGACACAAATCCTAATGAGCAGCTCTCTGATACCAAAAATGCCACAAAATATTATAAAACATTGCTACATCCTGTCTGTAAAAACAGTGTAATGGGATTTGTCTTGTGACTGGAAAAACTAATGGACTTCAATTAAATTGTAGCAGTTTGCTGAATGACTCATTCAATTTCAAACGTGGGCTGATAAAATTGTATTGAGTGTTTAGTCTGTCCTTTTGAATGAGTTTTGAAACACTGGCTGATGTGTACAGCAGTGCAGATTATTCAGTGCTCAGTCACTGGGATGTGTGTACCTCTTTGCATAAGCATCCCATACTTTATACTTCAATACAATATTACAGCACAGTGCACTTCTTGCTTCCTTGTATGCTTACTACATTTCTTGCTAGTTGGTAATTTAAAGAGGGAAGAACTTGCGGAGCCTCAAGAGTAACTGTAGGTGCTTGTGCTGGTGACAGACAGCCTTAACTATGTCTGCTAAAGTGAACAATAATATTTTTTTCTCCTAGATTGCCCCCCTGACATGCAGAGTGTCTTCATCTGTGAGGCAATAAAACTGTCATAGTTTACTGAAACCAAATTTTCTAAGCTTGGAATCTCATATTCTTAATAAAGAACTATACCATCTACATCAGATGATAGCTAATTTCTATCCTATAAGAAAATAGTTATATAAATTAGCATTCATATGCTAATTGTGTCTGGAAGCAAGTAGGAATCTGTATTATGGCAGGTATGTTTATCTTCCGGATGTCTTCCCTCATGTTTATTCTTTTTGAATGGAATCTCAAAACTAGAGATTGTTTTGCACTAGTCCAGATGTCCCTAAGCTTTTGGCAGGGGAAAGATGTTTATGGTGCTTTAGGAAGGTCAGGGATTGCAGGTGTGATGAAGTGTTCATTTGAAGTGTTTGCATGTCCCCTTAGTTTGGTTTAAATAACATGTCTCTAGAATTCCCTTAAAATTACAGTCCTTTTACTGTCGAAGAACATAATTGATTCTGTTTATTCCAGGCAGCCTTCCAGATTTGAAAGTGTACACAGAAACACAAGCTGCCAGCTATACTTCAGAAATGTTTCTGTTTACATTCTTGCTTTCCAAATCCAAACCCTGGAGGCGTGCTTACATGTGCAAGTGAAATGAATGTGCACACAGAGTGACTGCATGCACTGTTCAGCACATGCCTGTATCCCAGCTTGAAACAAAAGCTGCTGTCTTACTGCAGTTGCTCTAAAAATTGCAGATTTTGGGATGTCACATTTGGACCATTTGCAAGTTTTTAAAGGAAAGGTATTGAGTTGCCAGTTAAGGTTTGAAGTCTTTAAGGAAGCCAAGGCTGATGTTTATTTTGAAGAGATGCTTGGCTAAAAGGATTTACATTTTTGATGTATGTGTGTCCCCTACTCCTGCCTATGTTTCTTTGTTGCTGGTAGGGAGGGAGAAAAAATTGCAGTGAAATGAGGCACCATCCTTGCAGCTGCTCTTACCCAGCACTGCTGCAGTCAGGCAGCCCCAGTGCAGACCTGCATTAGGCTGACTCCATGGGGATCTCAGGAAAGAGCTAAAGCAACAGAAGGCAGCACAAGATAGGGAAACTGAGTTGTTCTCTGCCTGTTCCATCCATCTGACCTGTAACCAGTTGGCTCAGGGAGCCCCAGTGCCAGCAGGGTGAGGAGTGAGAACACACGCCTTGGGCAGGGTGAAAATGGGCTCTCATGGTTCAGAAGAGCCTCAGCAGGATGGTGGAACTGAAATTAAAAGGCTGCTGGTATAAACTCAGTCTGTGTTGTGAATATTTAATTTGGTTGCCGTCCATCTGTACAATCATTGTGCTTGTGTGGACAGGAAAGCTCATATGACTGCATATTCTTTTTTGTTTGGGGGCTTTGTGCTGGTGTGTGCCATAACAGTGATGTTCTTCTGCCTGTGTTTGCAGTTAAGAAATGTAAATAGGCATGTGATTCAGTGATATGGAGAGGGAACCTCTTTGCCTGATCAAAAAGATGCCATTTAACTTGTGTATTTAGTTTTATCTGAGCTGAGGATAGTTATCAGTGGTTTGGAACCCTCCAAGTTACTCTGAATGGTGTTATTTGCATTCACTGGTAATGTTTTGTAATTGGTAAGCTTCCCAAGCTTGTCTCTGTAAATACACTCTGTGTGCTGAGAGCTTTCCATTTCAGCATCCGCTCACTGAGGCTATTACAATGATGAGGGAAATAAAACAGCTTCTTTAAGCGCTTTCTTAAAAAGAAGTCAGTTGCAAAGTGTTTCTAAATATGCATGAGGTGGTAGTGGAAAAGGTTTTTTTTTAAATCTGCAGTGGCACTTCAATACTTTCGTGGATATTTTTAAAAGCCAAAATTACAACTACAAAGGAGGGATTAAAAAAGACAACCCTATTTCTGCTCAGAGTTGCTTAGGAAGCAGTGGATTTGGGAAAACATCATTTTCATTCTAACATTTCTTTGTAAGGACTGAAGTGTGGCAAGAGCAGGTACTGGATGTACTTGGAAGAAAACTTTTTAGAAAAGAAATGCTAATGCAGCAGGGAGGATCACTTTTTTTTTTACTTATATATAAAATGTTATTTATTAATTTTATATGTACATAATTTAATTAATACATACAGAAATATATTTTTATATAAATACATATTTTTAAAATTTGCTGAGCAGAGGGTAAGCATTGCAACCATTGTTTTTCCACAGTAAGAACTTTCAGGAAGTTGATCCAACAGAAGAAGTAATGGGTACAAACTGAAAAAGGGTAAATTTAGGCTACATAGATGTTAGGAAGAAATTCTTGACTGTGAGGAAGTTGAGATTCTGGCACAGACTGCCCAGAGAAGCTGTGGCTGCCCAATCCCTGAAGTGTCCGAGGCCAGGTTGGACAGGGCTTGGAGCACCCTGGGATGGTGGAAAGTGTCCCTGCCCATGGCAGGGGAGTTGGAATGAGATGGTCTTTAGGGTCCCTTCCAGCCCTTAACATTCTATGATTCTGTGATGGATCTTTCCAAAGTTAAGAGCAATGAATGCACAGATAAGCAATTTTGTTTCATTACTGAAAAATCCAGGACGAGTAAAGAAGACCAAATATTTTGTAACATAAAGTGTTCTTCAGTCTTGTCACAGGATGCCAGCAGTTTGTTTGTGAAAACATTCTGAAGGAACTGGATTTCTTTTGCAATTACACAAATATTGCCTCTGGTTAAGGAAATTAAAAATAGGTGGGGATTAGGAGTATTTATTGGTGAAGTATCACTGTGTGCCTTCTGGGTAGTTCTGCTCTCTTTTTGGCATCTCCCCCCACCCACTAGGCTATAAAACATCTCTGCTGTGTTTTCGCATACTCTGTCCCATTCTCATATTTTCTCTTTCTCATACTCATTTCCTCTGCTCTAAGATGGCCTGAGCAGCACAGATAGAGGGTCACATGTGTTCCCCTGCTTTCCTTTGGCTTGGCAGGGACATTCATGCAGCTGCCAAAGGGAACTGGAACAGGGCATTGGCGCTAAATTAAACAAGCCCAACTACAAAGTGTTAGTGGCGCTCAATTCTTCTGTCTCATTCATGGAGAAAAGGGTTTGTTGGTGGTGTAAGTAGCTTATACTGATCTGACACAGCTATGGCCAAGTCTTGTGTGTACATGGATTCTTAAAATCAAGTTTAGAGCTTTTAGTAAATATTTGTAACTATTATGTCCGTGTTGTTTGAATACTTTAGAAATTTGAGATGAGAAAAAAACATTTTTAAATGTGGAAGCATTGGTTTTAACTTAAAAGAGCTGATGGTTTGTATCATCCAAATTATAATAAAGGCTTCACTTTCCAAATTAAAACTGGAGAACTTGGCTTGAGATTTGGTTAAAAATTTCTATAATAATTTGAGTACTAAATATTTTCATCCCCCTGCTGTTGAAGTGTTCTATTAATGAATTAAAAGTTCAGATAAAAAAATATCCTCTATTCTTAAAACTATATGTATATTGGTATTTTTCCAAACTAGTGTGATTCTATTAACTGCTTTGTTTGAGTAGGTACTTAGATTCAAATACAAGTTCTTAGGCTTGGTTTTATCAAGTCTTTTTTATGAATGTAAAATACAGCCCTGACTATTCATCTACAATTATAAGCAGCGTTTGAACCATTTTACCTGAATTTCTTGGTGATGTTTTTATTTTAACTTTTGACATTCAAATTTCTGATTTTCTCTCAGGTTTCCACGTACAAATCACTGCTCAAAAAGCTTGAAGTACAAGGTTATCCCAAGACTTAAAAATGCCTCCGCGGCCGTCATCTGGTGAACTATGGGGCATCCACTTGATGCCCCCCAGGATCCTTGTGGAGTGTCTCCTCCCAAATGGAATGATAGTGACTCTAGAATGCCTCCGTGAGGCCACCTTACTGACTATTAAACATGAACTCTTTAAAGAAGCAAGGAAGTACCCTCTCTATCAGCTCCTTCAAGATGAATCTTCTTACATTTTTGTAAGTGTTACACAAGAAGCAGAGAGAGAGGAGTTTTTTGATGAAACACGGAGACTTTGTGACCTGCGACTGTTTCAGCCTTTCCTGAAAGTTATTGAACCAGTAGGTAACAGAGAAGAAAAGATTCTTAATAGAGAAATAGGTGAGATTATCTTTTTTTTTAAAATATAATCTGTTTAACTGATTATCCTCTTCAAATTATAAAGAATTTGAATGGTTCATGTTTGTCACCTGTATCCGTCATGTTTCATAAGTGCCAGTTGTTGCATCAAATGTCCAAAGATGCAGATCATAGTAAAACCAATATTTATAATCAATGAGTTAAACTTCTTTTTTTCTGATCTGTTTTGTTCACCTTGTCTTTGAAAAATGTATTTGTAGTTGCTTGTGGGTTAGAGGATAGCTTTTTGCTTATCATTTTACTAGCAGAATTTCATATTATTAGAGAGCAACACCTGTCATATTGTTTAGGAAGTCAGTTATAATTTATTTTGAAGTTTACAGAATTGTCAATTCTAGATTTAACTACAAATCTTAAACCACATTTGTGGACACAGATTTTAATACTGCTCTAGCTTGCTTAGAAAGTCAAATTTCAGAAATGAGGTTTTTTCACCTTTCATCTTCTCCCTTCTGACAAAAGAGCATAGGGAAAAAAACACCAGAGGTTGGAGATGTGAAGATGAGACAAATTGTGATGTTTTGAATCATCTCTGGAGTAGCTTATGATTTTCCATGATCCACTGAGGAAGCACAGGGAATCTGGCATTTGTTCCAACATCTTGGTTAAGTATTAAATTGAGACAGTACAAACATACCCACTCCTACAATTCCTACATTGCTAACAAGTGTGTACTGCAGTGGCAGAGACTTGTCAACTGGAAATACTTGTTCTGAGGTACTACTAATTGTTAAATGATTTAATAGTGACGAACACATAATAAGTAAATTAATTCTGTTTTGTAAAGCTCAACATGTTCAGGACTTGGGGAGAGCAGCGGATAGGTAACCATGCAACACGACAATTGAAAGCTTCCATTTGAACACTCATGCATAAATGATGATTTATTGAAGTAATCTCATTAAAGTAAATGGAATTGCATCTGAGATTGAGGACCTGAAAGAAATACACTGTTGCTATATGAATCTGTGTCAAAGAGCTTAAGTTCTGTGTCTCTTGGAGTGCTCATTGCAGTTCTCAGATAATGTAGGTCATTAAAAAAAAATTAATAGCTGTCATTCAGTTGTAAGCAAGGTTTATTATGGTCCTAATAGCTACTAATAATCCTGGGTTTGAGAAAAAATCAGATTTCACAGCTCCTCTGGTTCCCTTAGGAAACTCTGTGCTGACTTGAAAGGAAGTTGTGTCCTGGTCCTTTTCCTCCAGAAGGAATGTTGGCTGTGAGAGCAGTGATTTAAGACTTCCATGATCTTCAGGGAATGTACACCTGTTTTCTAACCTTTTCTGTGTCTGCTGAGTGCACTTAACTTTAGAACTGTGTAGTTGAATGATATAAAACAATTACATATGCATCCAGAAGCTGGAACTTATTTTAGGCTGTGTTTTGCTTTAAGTTGGCTTTTTTTTGTGACTGATTGAAGAAATTTTTAGCTCTACTTGTCAGTTACAATTATATCCTCATGCTGCTCCAATGCTGTAGGTTTTGCTATTGGCATGCCTGTCTGTGAGTTTGACATGGTCAAGGATCCAGAAGTACAAGACTTCAGAAGAAACATTCTTAATGTCTGTAAAGAAGCCGTGGATCTGCGAGATGCCAATGCCCCACACAGCAGAGCACTGTATGTCTATCCTCCAAATGTAGAGTCCTCAGCTGAACTCCCCAAACACATATACAACAAACTAGATAAAGGTAAGGACAATATTTACAGCAGAAACAGAATATATTTTCAGTGTTTGAAGTCAAAGAGTACAGCTGTTGACTTAGGCAGATCACTGTTTTATGTGCTGCATTTAGTACACTCCAGCAATATCTTCCACTTCAAGTTATTCAGAATAATTTTTTTGATGGACTCTACATTCAAAAGGATATTTAAAATTGTGCTATTCTAACTGAGTCTTGAAATATAACTCAGTAAATAGAGGTAACTTTTTTAGTGGGTGGGAACAGTTTGTTGGCTGTTTTCTGTGGCATTCAGATAACTGAAATTAAATGATGCTGAATCACTGACTTACTTTGCAGGCCTCAAATATGAAAGAGTTACTGCTGTTTTCTTAAAGTCCAAATAGTTGGTAGTATTCAGTTAATAAAAATATTCTTAACCTCAGAGCTAAAATTTTTAATTTCCACTGGAGTCAAAAATAAGCTTAATGCATCTAGTTCCTTGCAGGAATTATAAACCCTCTCTCAGTCTGGGCAGTGATCTTGTTTACATCTTCTTTTAATACTAAAAGCAAATCTCTGTGTTGGGGAGGTGTGGGAGTTGTTTGGTTTGGGGGTTATTTTGGGCTTGTGCTTTTTGTTTGGAAACAGCATTGAAAATGATAGGCCTGACATTATTTTACATTTATTCCAGGGCAAATTATAGTGGTGATTTGGGTAATAGTCTCACCAAACAATGATAAGCAGAAATACACCCTAAAAATCAATCATGACTGTGTGCCTGAGCAAGTTATTGCTGAAGCAATTAGAAAGAAAACGCGAAGTATGTTGCTGTCATCTGAACAACTGAAACTTTGTGTCTTGGAGTACCAGGGAAAATATATTCTAAAAGTCTGTGGCTGTGATGAATACTTGCTAGAAAAATGTCCACTGAGCCAGTATAAGGTGAGTAACATAAAGGGTTTCTTTTGAACTACAGGAAAATAATTCAAATTTGTGGGGGACAAAAATGATCAGGATTAGGTCTGGCTTTTTCATTGAATTAGCACAAAACATAGGAAGTGACAGTGTGTGCACCTTTAAACAAATTGGCTAATCCATGTGTTTCAAAAGGGAGAGGAAGGAGAAAAGAACTAGAATTTTTATCACTTGTGTAATTTTTCTTCTTTGAATGTTTCCCTCTAATGTTAATGCTACGTCAGAGGTAGGTGCTTTCAGAAATACCCTAGATTTTTAATGGCAAGAGATGAGCTATATTTGAATGGTGCTGATGTAATAAAACAGGAAATTTGATCAGACTGTAAATTATGAAACAACCCTTGCTACTGTAAATCCTGTCCTGAAGGGGTGGTAAAAGAGAAAACTGTTTTCCTGTTACAGCTGTATCATTATTTTAATAAGATAAAATACATAGACTTCCAGCATTACAGAAATCATTGCTGAGCCTTGCTTGTGTGTGTCTGCTCTTCACTGCCCATGTTTGTTAGTGCTGGGAGTGTGAGACAGAATTTGGGACAGAAGAGCATCTGAGCAGCCCTCTCTGGAGCAGAAAACAGCTTTACCCTGTAGATTTCCTGACAGGCTGCTGCTGCTTCCTCTTGGAGGAATGTATTGTAATAATCTGCTCCCATTCCTTCAGCTAAAATGGTTGACAGTCTGATCTTCAGAGCAGTGGAGGAGAGAAGGAGGGGTGGGGGATCCTGAATAATAGGAAAAGTATCTTTGTACTCTGGGAGCTGGGGAACAAGTGCAGGCATACATGAATAATTTTGCAGAGTCATCTGAAGATCAAACGCCAGACCTATTTGATCTAGCGTGGTTTCTTCAGAAGCATCTGGTTTGCCTTTGCTGTGCCCCAGCAGAGCTTGCTAATTAACTCCAGGCTGGACCTGTCCTAACACACTGTGTTTTGTGGTAGTGTTGCCAGACTAGATGCTCTCAGCACTCAGACCTGAATGGACAGGTGAAATGTGTCAGGATCAGTGCTGAGCATAAGGTAATGAGCAGAACTGAACCAAAAAAGAGCGTGTCTGCAGCTTACCTAGTGCTCCCTGCCTGGGACTGGCAGTATCAGTCACCTGTGCTGCACTGCAGGCTGCTACAGCCCTTGCCATTCCAAAACAGCTCAGTTGATTCCAGGAGCAGCTCAAATCTGTCTGCTCTGTGCTGCACTGTGACAGGGCTAAGGAGCTCTACAAGAAACCCAGCTGGTGTTTTCACTCCCATCTCTGTCTCCAGTTCAGCCTTCCATTGCTGTAGATGTTCACATCTGAAAACCATGAGGTGTGGCTGTGTGACCCTACCCAACAGCATGTTCAAACTGCTGGGTGCTGTACCTACTTTCACTGTACAGGGTGTGCATGCAGCACATGATAAGCTCTTTCACTTTTTTATCTCCTGAAGTATCTTGATGTTTCCATTACCAAGAGTGTAGGCTTTGAAAAGACACAGCATTTTGGTTGTTTCCTTGCAGTACATAAGGAGCTGCATCATGCTTGGCCGCATGCCCAACCTGATGCTGATGGCCAAGGAGAGCCTGTACACCCAGCTGCCCCTGGACACCTTCACCATGCCATCCTACTCCAGGCGCATCTCCACAGCCACGCCCTACATGAATGGAGAGGCTACCACCAAATCCCTCTGGACTATCAACAGCGCTCTCAGAATAAGGATCCTCTGTGCAACCTATGTAAATGTGAACATTAGAGACATAGACAAGGTATGGAATCACATCTGGCTTTTCAGCAGCTCAAGGTTTCTCTCTTGAGTGTTCGGTTCTGTTTTGATGTTGGAAAAGAATCATTATTTAACACATCAGAAAATGGTACCACTCTTTTACTTAAATTGGAGCATTTAATTGTAAAGAACTCACCCATGTTTTAGCATCTGGAAACTTTTCTGTACTGCTTAAAAAGTGTGAGTTGTGGTAATTAGCTAAATACTCTGCCTGGTAGGAGCAGGACTCAGTTTGCCTAACACTTCAGCAGAGTACGTAATGGATTGAAAAAGAAATGTTATCTATCTTCTAAGTAATTATGGTTAAAAATGTATGACAGTAACTGAGAGTGCTTTTGATGAGGGGATGTTATCTTTGTTTATGAAAATAAAGGTATGGGGTGATAGGGGGCAAAAGGCAGGTGTAGGGTTCAATTCCATTGAAGACGTCTACAGCCCTGCCTCTCTTTCCTTGGAATTCCTTTCACAATACCTTGGCACAGGAACAACTGAGAATAAATTCCAGGGTTTTTTTTTAGTGTTCAAGTTTGTTAATGTATTTTTTAAGAACTAGTTTTGCAATTAATGAGGACCAAAACACTTTTTCTAGAAGGATATGCTTATAAATTGTGCTTCACACCCAACAGAGCATGAATTAATTTGGGGAGTGGTGGGCCTGTTTGGTTTTCAGTTTTGATTTTCCTTTTCATATGCTGAAAATGAAAGAACAATGTGTTGTGATCATGGTATGTGTTGACTGCAATGAAAAAAATTTGTTTATGGCAACATTACAAAGACTAATACGGATGTTGTTTTCAGATTTATGTTAGGACAGGTATCTACCATGGAGGGGAACCTTTGTGTGACAATGTGAATACTCAGAGGGTACCTTGTTCTAATCCCAGGTAAGATGAATACCTGAGTGACTCTAGAGAACCTGACTTTCAGGGCATCATAAATGATAGCACTGAAGGATTAAAGGCTCAACTTAGCCATTACTCAGATAGAGCTCCTTGCTGGGAATCATTTATCTTAAGTTTTGTAAAAATACATTACATAACCCTATATATATAGCACTAATTTAATTCAAACACAAGCATTTTCTCTTGTGCATAATAGTATGTATGGGATATATTTTCAGGATGATTGACAAACCATCAATATTACCTGGAAAAAATAAATCTTCTGAACTTAAAAGTACAAAAACTTTTATATGAGCATATATAAACATCTTTTAACCACCTGTTCTCATAACTTTTACTAATGAAGAGGTGTGAAATTTCAGCACCTGCTAAGATTAGATGCAAAGTATGTGTGCAGAAGTAATTCTTTGCTGCATTTTCTGACTTTGTCTTTAATAATAATTTTTGCAACTCTTATTTTTATCTGTACATTTTTCTATGAATGTGATTAAGTTTTATAATTAAAGGACTAATAATATACATAGTTGGTGAAAAATAGGCTCTCCTCCTGAGTTGCCCCGAATACTGCTGTACTTGAGCTGACAGTTTAAACTATTTTAGAGAGAAAATCTTGGAAAGGTGGTGAAGGTTATGCCTTGAAATCATGGATATAGTCACGCAGATCTGTATTATATGAAATGAATACGTAAGAAAAGTGAATTAAAGTTTATCTGCTGATATTCTTAGAGAAGGGCTTTCACAGTTATTTCTTTGTAAAATTGCTTTCAGTAGCTACAGATATACTGAAAAATTAATGCTGTCCTTGGAAGCTGCTGTCTCTTTCAACTGAGAAAATTCTGTATAACAATCCGCTTAGAGGAAGAAACTGGATCAGAAGTTCCTCTTCAAAAGCACAGCTCTACCAACTGAAAGCTAAATTCTGCTTAGAGAAGTTCATGAAAACAAAATCAAACTATTCCTGTAGAACCAATCTGTGCTATTATTACTACAGTAAATAGAAAAATATTTGACTTAGGAATATTGCTTTGGATCCCCACGTTCTATCCCCATCTTGCAGATATCTTTTTATGTTCCAACAGTTCAAGTTTAGTTTGGTTTTGAAAGCCTTTTTTCCCAGTTGCCTTTTTCCCCTGAAGGGAAAACTGTTTCACAAGCTAAACCTTGCATCAGTGTAGCATATATGCAAATCCATTATCTTTAAGTTGCAGGAAGTGAACCTAACATGGCTTTTTAAACAGTGTTGGGGCCAGAAGGCTACTGGGGAAGTTTGCGTTCCCAAAAGCAGTGAATGTGGTCCCCAAAAATAGGGGGACCCATTTTCAGTGTATGCAAATACACAGTTTAGGAATATAACAAATACCTTTTGGTTGAGTGAATGATGTCTCCTTTAACCTGGTTTAATTCTGCCTTTTGAATCTTCCAGATGGAATGAGTGGCTGTTGTATGACATGTACATTCCTGATCTCCCACGTGCTGCTCGGCTCTGCCTCTCCATCTGCTCTGTTAAAGGCCGGAAGGGTGCTAAGGAGGTAAAAAACCTCATGGATTTATTGCACTAATGAGCCAAAGCTACTTAAATCAAGTTTGGGAAGATATTTGGTAAATGCTGTCCTGGCAATGAGTCTTAGTGCAATGTTTGATTTGCATCTGATTAAAATAGGGGTGTTTCTTGTCTTGTGGATTTTTTTGGTATTTGGAAATCAAACAACACAGGAAAAAGCTTATCAGTTCAGCACTGTAAATCGTGCCTATGCTGCATTGCCAGGCACAAAGATCGGTGTTAGTGTTGTGAGGTGGAAGTTCTTTTAAAATTAATTTTCAAAACCATGTTACTTACCTATTTGTTTTTAAAGGACAGTATTTGTACCCTTAGAGTTGAGTTTTCAAGTAAAGAAATTTTGTATTCCTTTAGCATTTAATGTAAGATCTCAAATAGTAGTTTTTAAGACTCTACATGCAACATTTAGTTTTTAGCCAGCAGCATCATCACATTGTGGATTTGAGTGTGTGTAACAGGTATTATTTATATAGGATCTTTGTCTACAAGCAGGTCTGTGAACCTTACAGAATGATTTGGGTTAGAAGGGATCCTTAAAGACCATCCAGTTCCACCCCCCTTCCATAGCACAGGTTGCTCCAATCCAATCTGGCCTTGAACACTATCAGGAATGGGGCAGCCACAGCTTCTCTGGGCAGCCTGTGCCATAAAAATATATGCATAAAAAAGCGTATTTCTTTTTTTCCAATCTACCCAAAAATATTTGCCTCAAGTTTAAAACTGCTGCCCCTTGTTCTGTCACTACAGGACTTGGTAAAAAAATCTCTTTGTAAGAAAAACTTTCTCCATCATCCTGGTATATTCTGGTGTGAGGAAGATATGTGCATGTGTTTATAATTCTTTTAGTATCATTTGTTAAAAGACTGCCATGACAGCCGTTCATAGTAAAACATGGTACAGCTTCCACAACTTGCTTTCTGCTAATCTGGGAATGTGACAACTTGATCTGGGGTGAAAATGTTGTTTCTCCTGACTCGCTCTGCAGTAATTCATAGATGACACCGAAAAAATCATATTTTAATCTCTTTAAGGAGCACTGTCCATTGGCTTGGGGAAATATAAACATGTTCGATTACACAGACACTCTGGTATCTGGGAAAATGGCTTTGAATCTTTGGGCAGTACCTCATGGGCTGGAGGATTTGTTGAATCCTATTGGTGTTACTGGATCAAATCCAAATAAGGTATTTGCATGCCAGCTTCCCCCTTAAGAGTACATTTTCAAAATATTCTGTATTCTTGCTATCATTCAACAGAAAAAGTAATTTGAATTCCCTTGACTTAGGAAACTCCATGCTTAGAGCTGGAATTTGATTGGTTTAGCAACCCTGTAAAGTTTCCAGATATGACAGTGATTGAAGAACATGCAAATTGGACAATTTCACGGGAACTGGGATTCAACTACAGCTACGCAGGGCAGGTAAGGCAAACTCCCTCTCCAGGATTAGCTATTCAAATATGAAAGTATTATTTGCTACTTTATTTTACCCAGTGTGTCAGTGACAAAACTTCTTTTTTTACATCCTCATTTATTGTAAAATCAAAATCAAATTTTGTTGTGTGTTTGGTAAAATGGACAATATATTCTCCTTTCTTTATGTTACCAGTAAAGTGACTTAATGCTTCACTGACCAACCAAGTCACTCCAAAGAGAAACTGTTTTACTGTGGTTTTGATATTTTTGTATCACTAATTCAGGTGTTAAGCTACTTAGTTTCACTTCTGAAACATTGCGAGTCTCCTTCAATTATACTGTTTTTCTTTGTTGCAGTTTCATATTTATGTTTAGGCTTTCCTGTGTAACCCAAAGGTGCTTAGAACTCTTTCCTGTCTGTTTTATGGGCTCGTTACGACCACAAGCACAGGGAATTTTAAGGGAATTGATGGACATACACATGGGTGTAGTCCTTTATCTCACTTTTTCCACAAAGAGAGCTTGTGCATTACAATTGGCTTTTTGGTGAGGTCTGGAGGTTTCTTCAAAGCACTTTTTTGGATGTTGAAAAGAAGTAAAAACAGAAAAGCAGTAAAGCTAAAAATGTGCTTTATTTAAAGCCAAGGCTGTGAAATTGCTTGGTGTGTTTTCATTTTCTTCTGGAGGCTGTTTCAAAGCCTTGGGTTTGCCCAAGAGAGCTCCATGGTCTGTGTGAAGAGGAGCCCTGTGGTGGGAGTTTGGCTGTGCCGGAGAACGCGGAGGTGGCAGGGAGCTTCCAGATTGGGAATTCTGGGGGTATTTATAGCTGTCCTGTCCCAGTGTATCCTGAACAACAGCTTGTGGGCATTTGATTTCTCTTGATACTCAGCAGGATGTCCATCATAGAGTAGCATTTCTGCTGTTTATGCTGTGACTGAGCAGGGCTCTCAATAAATGCTTAAGGACCATTGTCATCTTGGCAAATAACATTCCCCAGACTCTTACCTGGGTTTCTGTACTCTCAGCTCATTGTTTTGTTCCATCTGGCACAAAGAAAAAATGGTGAGGGGGCCAAACTCACTTCACTGACAACATAGTTAATTTCTGCTTGTAGCAGTTCTGTTTTCTGTGCTTTTTGGGGAATGTCTTACACTAATTGTGATTTAATATTTTCTATCTTCCTGTTACTCAGGCTTTCCTACAGCAGTCTACCCCTTTTTTACCTATTTTCATCCCCATGTTCTGCTTTTTCAGTTGTGAATACTTTTCACTCTTTTAGCAGCCATCAGCAATCTCAAGCTGGGGTCAGAAATGACCAGTGTCACTTAGTGCTGCATTGTGTCATTCATCAGATCTCAATTGCTGCTATTTCTCCACACAGCTGATTTAGTTGAAATGTGCCTCTTCTTGTGCGAGTAGTGTCTAAAAGCAGTTGTAGAGATCAAAGGTGTAGTCTTTCATGTTCTTTCTAAATTTTAAACTCTCAGTTATAACAAGTGGACACACCGAGATAGTATTGCATGGCATGGCTGTAGTGGTTAAAATACTGTGGCTGTGCTGTTAAAATACTGTATTTGATGTGTGTTTTGCAATAGAAGGAGTTGTGTGGAGGGCTAATGTGCCACTGTCTCTGCAGAGTAACAGAATAGCTCGGGATAGTGAATTAACAGAGAGTGACAAGGAGCAACTGCGAGCCATTTGTACCCGAGACCCTTTGTCTGAAATCACTGAGCAAGAGAAGGACTTTCTCTGGAGACACAGGTATTGCAAATGAAAAACCAAACCAAAGAAAAGCCCTTCATGGCATAATCAAACTTCACCCCACTCATTCCAAATTTGTCATGGGTTTTGCTCCCTTTTCTTCCATGCAGAGGAGTTGGTGTTTTAGACAAGGCTAGTAAAGCATTCTACATTGTGTGGTTTGGTTATAATCCTGTGGGGGAAAGTAAGTTGTTGAATGAGTTCCCCTTTTCCTTATTACTGCAGTTTTACCTGCATGGATGGATCCTGACAGCACCTTGCTGACAAAGGAAGAAGGTGCAAGGCTGTGGGCACATAGTTAATGGTTGTCAAAGCAAAAGTGTTGTTTTGTACATGCAACTTTTTTGTCTTTTGCAGACACTATTGCGTGAATACTCCAGAAATTCTACCCAAGTTACTTTTGTCTGTCAAGTGGAATTCTAGGGATGCAGTGGCCCAGGTAACATAAAGCACTGAAGAAGTGTTAGATTTTGAAGAAGCTTTAAGATATGCTATTTTAAAGAAAACTTCTGGAAGTTAAAAACATATTATGTGTGCATGATACATTGAATGAATAGTTGAAGTTGCCACTATGATTGACAGATGTCTCTGGTCCACAGTTCTTGTTCTTTAGCTCAGTCTGGTCCTAAGATTTCCTCTTGCTGGCATTATCTGAATCCCTCTTATGTTACCAACTTGTCAATTACAGTTAAATGTGAGGTTTTGTTTTCGTTCTTTTAAGGATGGGCAAAACAACAAAGTCAACTGGCAATGAATACCAGATTGTTAACTGAGAGGACCAGCAAGTAAACAGCTTCTACTCAGATGTAGTTTGTGTCTGACAACGCCTTCTAATGGCTGTGTGTTACAGCTTCTTCCTAAGCAGTGCAAAGGTGTAACGTGCTTGTCCTTCTTGCCCACAGATGTACTGTTTGGTGAAGGATTGGCCTTCAATCAAACCAGAGCAAGCCATGGAGCTCCTGGACTGCAATTACCCAGACCCAATGGTGCGAGCATTTGCAGTTCGGTGTCTGGAGAAGTCTCTGACAGATGACAAACTGTCTCAGTACCTAATCCAGCTGGTACAGGTACTGAACATATTTTGGCATGTTTGTTGTCTTGTGTATGTGCAATGATCACAGAGACTTAAAACACAGCAGAAGTTAAGTTGTTGTGAAAAAGCGGTCATCAAAAGTGTGTTTGCTTTGCAGATTATTTAGGAGGGCATGAAATGTTAATTTTTCTGTAGTGCTGTGGTTTTGCTTTTTGGTACTAAATGTCAGAATTCTGCAGAGATTTAAAACTGTTCCACCAACTGGAACAGGCAGCTATTTCAGCTGTCCTAACATATGGGAAAAGATGAGCAGAAGCATCTTCTCGAAATTTTGAGCAAGTTGAGGCTAAAATATTTGGTAACAGTAAAGCAAGCATCAGATGGTAAGTTCCTGAAATAGAGACAGCCAGTGCACAGTTGGCATATATTGTTCAAAGCCTAACACATGCAAATATTAATACCAAGATCAGTCATTTCAGAAAAAATAATGTAAAACATAGGTGGCTTTTTATTTAACTGCCTTTAATCTGTATATGGTTCATAGAAATAATAACTGCATCTGTTTTTTTAAAATTTTCTCTTTATCCTTAACTAGGTTCTGAAATATGAGCAGTATTTAGATAATCAGCTTGTGAGATTCTTACTCAAGAAGGCACTGACCAATCAAAGGATAGGCCACTTCTTCTTTTGGCATTTAAAGTAAGCTTATTGTCATGTTAAGGGGTTGTGGGTTTCCTATTAGCTATAAACAATTAGTATTTCTAAAGATTTGACATGCTAAATGTCCTTACTTAGAAAAATATTAAAGATTAGGTTATATTGGTTAAGAGTTTGAACACATAGTTTGGTGATAGAAATCATGCCTTGAAGTTTCAAAAGCTACTTAATAGTACTTAGACTTGTACTTTTTATCTAATGATGATCATTCTAAAAACAAGATAATCTGAGACTGCTGAAAGCCTACCATATTGTTAGGTGCCTGATACCACATCAGTTTTTCCAGAAAACTTTACAAGTATATGAGACCTAAAGAAAGAAGCCACCCAATTCAACAAGGTAAAGCTTTGAAAAATACTAGTAAAAACTTTATTTTACTTCTTTATTAAAGGCTTCTTATAGAGCTTGACAGCTCAGTCTGCAACATATTGGGCTGAAACTAGAGGTCACCTAAAAATTCTATTTTAAGCTGGTGTAACCAGACACAGAAATAGAAACGAGGCATCTTTGTTGCCTTGGTGTCATCAAGGATAAGGGAGGGGATTGTTTGAGGGGATGTATTTTAGGACTGTATGAAGATGTCGCAAGAACAGCTTCATTTTTGGCACCTCTAAGTGGTCTTGTCTCTAAGCTGTTCTTCCTCCCTGTGTAGGTCTGAAATGCACAACAAAACTGTCAGTCAGAGGTTTGGTTTACTTCTGGAGTCCTACTGTCGAGCGTGTGGAATGTATCTGAAGCACCTGAGCAGGCAGGTGGAGGCCATGGAGAAGTTGATTAACCTCACAGATATTCTCAAGCAGGAAAAAAAGGATGAGACCCAGAAGGTATCACAGTCTGCCCTTATATCAAAACTGCTGCTGTTGAGTCACAGTAATTACTTAGAACTGTTCTATTTGATCAACGAGGAAAGTGTTCATGCTAATTTCAGTAGGTGGTATGTTTTCTGGGGAGCTGCAGTATTTTCTGTGTAATGCCATTGTCTAGCTCTCAAGGTAATAGAATTAAAGGTTTCAATTTGTGTAATATGTAGCTGAGCTGTACTTATATTAGAACTGTGCAAAACCATGCTTGACAGCGAAGCTAAAATCTGATACCTTCATTTACATGTAAATAGTGTTCTCAAGACCTGAATGTGCTTATTTATCAGGTACAGATGAAGTTTCTTGTTGAACAAATGAGACGGCCAGATTTTATGGATGCCTTGCAAGGTTTTATCTCTCCTCTTAATCCTGCACATCAACTGGGAAACCTTCGGTATTGTATCCATTTTGGAGCTTGTCTAGATACTTAAGTAAATGTTTATTAATGGTAATAATAACAGTGTTGAGGTTGACTGTTAGCTTAGTAAATGTCAGTATTTTCAAAGTGCACTGAACAGAATTTGTAGCAGAGTAATCCATAAAGAGTAGAGTCATTTCAATCTACTGGTTTAACAAATCAGGAAACAACGTGACCTTTAGTTGTTTCTTTAAGGTGCCAGGAACTGCAGTCCTTTTTCAAGTTCTCAGGAGTTCATATTGCCAAAGGAATATTTACGATATTCCCTTACAACACAGCTCTTCTGTTGGTCTTAGCAAATGGTTAATGTAGCACTTAGTAATTTAACTGTGAGTCCAAAAGTGAAAATGGTGGATTGTCAGTTATCTTTGCACTTTAATTTGTTTCTAGTTCAAAGTTTGACCAAAACAGGGAGAACTTAGCAGTATTAGAGAAACAGGGTATAAGAATCAAATTATGCCTATTTCATAGAAATCTTATCTCTTTTAGGCTTGAGGAGTGCAGGATAATGTCATCTGCAAAAAGGCCGCTGTGGTTGAACTGGGAAAACCCAGATATTATGTCTGAATTGTTATTTCAGAACAATGAGATAATATTTAAAAATGGAGATGGTAAGCATAGACAAATAAGTATTTATATCAGTCAAGTACAAAATTTATATATTCTAAGATGTTAAGTCTGTCAAGGTGGAAAATTATACTATTTAATATTTGTTATTTTTACATATAAATGTGTTCAATCTGTCATATTACAGATATGTAAGCTGTGATTCCATTGTCCTGGATTTAGTGTATGTCTTTAAAATCACCACCACAAATTTATATTCATTTTTTACTATTTAAAACCTGCTTTTCTCTACTGAGGGAACAAAACCTGCAATAAATATGCAAGCCTCATTACCTTTAGACATATTGTTTTGGTGGGAAAAGGAAAGTAAGATCTAACCAAAGGTTCTGGTGTTTCAAAATTTGCAAATTTAATGTATTTGACTGTTTCAGACTTGCGCCAGGACATGCTGACACTTCAGATAATTCGAATTATGGAAAACATCTGGCAAAATCAGGGTCTTGATCTTCGGTAAGCAGTAGAGGTCATTCCCAAGTAATGCTGTTCTTAATGGTTTTAGCATTGGTTTGTTCCCAGAGATAGCTTCTGTTTTCCCAAGGGTCATAAATGAAATGCTATAAATAGACATTTTTGTGCATATTAGAGGAATATTTATTTTTTTCAGTTAACTAAACTACTGGATTTTATAAACATAAGATCATATTTGAAAAATACTTAATTCTCATTCAAGTGGGTCTGAGTGAGCTACGTACAAGGATTGGATACAAGAGCAGCAGCCACACTGTGGCCAAGTGATTGTGTCTGTAGGTTTGGCTTTGAACAAGATGCCAAATCCTCAGCCCTGCTGAGCAGCGACTCTGTGGAGTTGGTATCTTCACTTCAGTCTGCACAGTAGATATTGCCCAGTCTGTGTGAGCTTCTCCACCTCCAGACAGTCTGTGGTGCAGCAGCTTCTGCAGGACATTCAGGATAAACTGTTCTGCTTCTGGAAAACTGATCTTAGTCAGGTTACACCTTCAAATTTGTGTTTGCTGTGTGGTACATTTTGAGGTGGGAGCAAAGAATCTGCCTGTGCACTGTCTAGAAACCCCCAGTTTTCATTTCCTTATGTAGACAAAAAGACCTGTTGGTCTGTTATCTCTCATGAGTCACAGTTTTGTTTCCAGTACTGTATTGAGTGGCAGAATTAAGCCTTTGTCCAAGAATGGTTTGCAGAATGGTTACAGTTCCCCATGTCTTGAAGAGCAGCCAGATACAGGAATCTGCAAAAATACATCCTCTCACCATTCTCTATAAAGGAAGAAAAAACCAGAAAACCAATGAACCTTTGTGTTTCAGGATGTTGCCTTATGGTTGTTTGTCGATCGGTGACTGTGTGGGACTCATCGAGGTCGTGAGGAGCTCTCACACCATCATGCAGATTCAGTGTAAAGGAGGCTTAAAAGGAGCACTGCAGTTCAACAGCCATACATTGCACCAGTGGCTCAAGGACAAAAACAAAGGAGACATGTGAGATTACCTGACGCCTCTTTTTCTTGGCCATATCCTTCTTTTTGATAGAAACTTCACGGGAACTGAAGTTCATAACGTGGGAGATTATTTCCATAATTATGTCCATCTAGTTTTGGTTTTGTTTTCTTTTTTACCTGTCCTTGTTTGCCTGGTAATTCTTTTGCAAAAGATAAACATGCACTTGTGTGTTATTAGAATATCTGAGGAAAGTGTCTCCTTTTTTGTTTGAATAGGTATGATGCAGCTATTGACCTGTTTACACGTTCTTGTGCTGGCTACTGTGTTGCCACCTTTATCCTGGGCATTGGTGATCGCCACAACAGTAACATCATGGTCAAAGATGATGGACAAGTAAGGGATGCTTTTCTGAAATCATACCCACTTACCCACATACCCTAAATCATACTCACTTCGTTATGAGTTTGTTTTGGAAAAGAAAATTGGAACTATGAGTAAATGATAAATTTTACTGTGACTTCATTTAAACGAGGAATTATTAATCTTAAAATTCCTTTCTGTCTTTCCAAGCTGTTTCACATTGACTTTGGGCACTTCCTCGACCATAAGAAGAAAAAATTTGGTTACAAAAGAGAGCGTGTGCCATTTGTCTTAACACAAGACTTCTTAATAGTGATTAGTAAAGGAGCCCAAGAATGTACCAAAACGAGGGAGTTTGAAAGGTGAGCTTGCTTTTAAGCATTTAACCTCCAGCCTGTTTTGTACCTAAAATGTACTTTACTACTGGTGACCTTTAATAATTAGGCCTTTTATGTGAACAGTTGTATTTTAATTGATTTGCAGTGGGTATGTTTTAGTTCTTCAGTTGTAGATGAGCCATCCACTTGTAAGTCTTAGCATTTACATGACCTTTGGTCCATGAAATCTCACTTGAGATTTGCAGGGTCAGCATAAATGGCAATTTTTCAAACATCTGAAATTTCTTTGACTTTACACTTAAAATCCTCTTGAGATGGCAGAACTGAAACTATTGAGAATTCTTTAATGTTGGGTGTTGTGTGCATCAGAGCCTTGCTGGTCATTCAGTCATACTTCTCTCTCCTCTAGCTGCTCTGATATCAGCTCCTCAGCTGGCCTGTGTAGTTTGTGACAATGGCCAGAACTTTAAAATAATAACAGTAAAGAAATAAATCTGTTGCTGTAGTCATTCTTAATATCTCTTTCCAGCAACCCAGTCTTTGAGAGGTTTCAGTTTTAATCTTAATTTCATTGTTGATGGCAATGGAAGACAGATTTTGAATTACAGTGTCAGTCTGAACACTGCAGTGAAGCTTTTTTGCATTTTTTCCCTAAACCTGGGTACTTCTTATCCAGTGTGATATAGAAAATGTCCCTGTTTTCAGTGGATTCTTCAGAGCACCTAAGGAGCAACAGCTGCTGCCCGCATAAAACCCAGGAGAAGTGCAACTCTGAAGGTAGACAGGAAAGCTAACAGGAAATCTTCTGAAATCTGAAATGTCAATAGCAGTGACAAAAATGGCCCTGTGAACTCCCATAAATTCATGTTGAACAGTTGTATGAATTGTAGACAAGGTTTAAGACTAGAAAGCCCGTCTTTGGATGTTGTGTTAGTCTGACCACTATTAATCCTTACATGAATGAAGAAAAACTAAGTAGGAAAATGAGTGCATCTTCTCAACTACATTATGGTGTTCTTACTGGACTAAGAGTGTCTTCTTTTTTGGTGTCTGGTTACCTGTAAAACTGTTTTGGAGCTGAAACAGTAATATGCACCCAGTAGAGAAATGCACTGAGCTTTTTTCCCCTGGTCTCTTCCAGGTTTCAGGAGATGTGTTATAAGGCTTACCTAGCAATTCGGCAGCATGCCAATCTCTTCATCAATCTTTTCTCCATGATGCTTGGCTCAGGAATGCCAGAACTGCAGTCCTTTGATGATATTGCCTACATTCGAAAGACCCTTGCATTGGACAAAACTGAGCAGGAGGCTCTCGAGTACTTCATGAAGCAAATGAATGATGCTCACCATGGTGGCTGGACAACAAAAATGGACTGGATCTTCCACACAATAAAGCAACACGCTTTGAACTGAACTGACTGCAAAGAAAACAAGAACTGATACCCCGCTTTGTGGGTACTGCACTGTTAATACCCGTTAGCAGCGAAGACTGGTTGCATAGGAATTGCACAAACCATGAACAACATTAGAATTTATGGCAAGAAAAGAAATGAATTGTTCAGACAACTGTTGGAAAATAATGTAAAACAGGGTTTCAGATAGCACTAAAATTGTAAACTTCAAAAATTAAGCTTTAGTACAATGTGTGCAGGGACCTCGACAAATTAGAGATGGGCAATCACCAAGTGTATGAAGTTTAACAAGGGCAAGTGCCACATTCTGCACCTGGAATGGGGCAATCCTGGTTGTGTGTATGGACTGGGGAATGAGAGGCTGGACAGCAGCTGCAGAAAGGGACCTGGGGGTCCTGGTTGTTGGCAAGTTGAACGTGAGCCAGCAGTGCCCTACAGCCAGGAGGGCCACCTGTGTCCTGGGGGCATCAGGCACAGCATCACCAAGGCAAGTGAGGGATTGGCCCACTCTGCTTTGCTCTGGGGCAGCCTCACCTTGAAAATTGTGGGCAGTTTTGGGTGCCACAATATAAAAAAAAAATTAAGCTATTAGAGAGTGTCCAAAGGAGGGCCATGAGCATGGTGAAGGGTCTGGAGGGGAAGCCATGTGAGGAGCAGCTGTGGCCACTTGGTCTGTTCAGCCTGGAGAAGAGACTGAGCTCAGACCTCGTTGGGCTCTGCAGCTTCCTCACGAGGGGAAGTGGAGGGGCAGGTACCGATCTCTTCTCTCTGGTAACCAGAGACAGGACTTGAGGAAATGGCATGGAGCTGAGTCAGGGGAGGTTCAGGTTGGACATTGGGAAAAGGTTTTTCACCCAGAAGGTGGTTGGGCACTGAACAGGCTCCCAGGGAAGTGTTCACAGCGCCAAGCTTGACAGAGTTCAAAGAAGTGTTTGGACAAGGCTGTCAGGCACAGGGTGAGATTCCTGGGGTGTCCTGTGCAGGATCGGAAGTTGGACTCAGTGATCCTTGTGGGTCCCTTCCAACTCAGCATATTCTATGATTCGACGATTCATGTTATGCCTTAAGCTCAAAAAGGTAAACTTGGAAGAATGTTTCCTTTTCTCATTTGATAGGATAAATAAGGAAAAAAGAAAATAGTGCTAGTGCAAACGTAAGAGTCCATCATGTCTTACCTTAGATCTGGTACAGCAGGTAGAGACTATGCTGGATTGTGAAGAATGGAAAGAGAATTCAAGTGATAGCAAATACTTGTATGCAGCATAATTTAAAGGGAAGGGGTTTGAAGCTCAAAGATCTAAAAAGAGTAGTGAGAGGACAGTGCCTTTTAAATGTGCTCAGAGGCATGAACATTTGTGGGGTTTGGGTGGCCCTTCAATTTCTGCGTCCGTCATCTGCACAGTTTCTGAAAGCAGTAGGAAATAGGCCCACTCAGTATGGTGTTTCTTCTGCTCAGTATTTCTAGGGGTGCAATTCATACTTTCACCAAGAAATTCCCTATCGTCCCCAAAAACTGACTAACCTGGAAGTTGAATGGTCAGAATTGGGTTTAGTGCAACAGAGAGCTGTAGTGTTCATCTTAGGTTTGCTTTAATCTAACTTGAACAGAATAGATTTTTTTCATACATGTTTTCCAGAACCTAAAGAAAGGTGAGTTATTAAAATTATTGAAAGATTATTTTTTTATAAAAGCTATTTATATAATAGGAACTATTATTAATATATATTCTTTATTTACATGATTTGTCCAATATTAACTCTCTTAATTTTGCAACCCAGTTCTATCTGTCCAAGACTCCCGTTTTCATTAATGTCACTGAAGATGACATACTCCTAGGACCAAATTCAGCCCTAGTGAAAGAGGACACAAGTACCAGTGAAGTAGTGGGAATATACCCGCTAAAGCCAGAGGTGAACTTGGCCTAAGTCTCTAAAACAATTTTGGGAATCACTCTTCACATTACTGAAATGTTATGCTGGCTATTCCAAGAATGCTCATTTAAACCCTCAAAATTTGGGTCTACCATTTCTCCTCTTTCTTCCTCCTTTGGAAGTGGTTGTTGAATCCAGTAAGATACACCAGAAATAGCAATTTAGATTTTCAATATGATCAATAATTAGCAGTTCAGCAGACAGATATGTTGGCTAGCTCAAAGCATGTGGAGTTACCAAACATTTTATAGCTTTGTCTGTTTTGTGTGTGTGTGTAATATATATTTGTAAATCTAGTTGTTGTCCTTTAACACAATTACAATGTGTGCAATCAATGAAATTGGCACCATGTTTTGAAACTATTCAGAGTACCGAGGATTTCAGATTGCCCTTATGCACAACTTCAGGTAGGACTGTTTTTCTAATTCCTAAACATGTTTTTTAAAAGTTAATGAAGCCCATAGTAGTTCTGCAGGTGATGTTCACCGTAATTTAAACTTGCTAGATTGGCAGCACTTGAATTCCAAAGGTTTGGGGCTTTTGAGGGTTCGGCTTGTTCACTTGCAAACACGCACCGAGGTGCCACTCAGAAAGTGCAATACCACGTGTAATATAAAATATGCTGACAGTTGGTGTTAGATTAGAATATAAGCATATAAATAAACTGTACTTCATGCAGGCCGTACTGATGAGATAATGAGGGGTTGGCTTCATTTAGTAAATTGTAATATATTAAAAATGTGCAATCAATTACGTTATGAAAGACTTTGGGGATGGTAAAGCCAAGGCTTTGGTGTTTCAAGACACTTTCAGAGTCAGGATCCTGCAGCTGATTACTGCATACATGGATACTTGATGTTGTGGGGGGAAACCTGGTTTTGTGAAAACTACAGAAGCTCCAAGAATAGCATGGGAAATGTGAATTTTTATTCCCTTAGTTCTATGAAATATTTTGGAGTAGTCCAATAGAATTCCCATTGCTCTTTTTATTGACTGTTACATATTCCTTTTTGTTCATATGAATATTTTAACTCCTGCTAAGCTTGGTTGTACTTTCTAGAGCAAAGTTACCCTTGTATCTATTACTTTGCAGTCAACACACAATAATGGTTTAGCTCTTAAAAATGAGTTAGTTTAAGTTTAGTTCACAAAATCTGAAACCCTGTTGGCTATAATTCTTAATTTAACTGAGTAAAACTGTTGCACAGTCATCGCATTAGGTGCTATATTATCTGTATTTATCTGGTGTTGAAACAATGCTTTACCTCATTTATGCAAGAAATGGTCAGCCTTTTCCAGTCTGGGTGAAAAGATCAACTCAAATTTATTGGATATTTTGAGGCCAAATTTGTTCGTACTTTGCCCCTTCCTAGCCCTTCTGTAAATACAAGTCTAAATGTCTTTCAGTTCAAGCACAGTGTTCTGCACCCTTTTTGCCCAGACAGAGGTATGAGGAGTCAGGCTCTGTTCCCAGAAGTTACTGCAATTAAATGTTGTGCATAAGCTGTGGAAGTTATTATGAAAATCAAATAGTAAAAGAAAGGAAACTTCAGAGTGGTACAGACATGATACAGTTCAGTGTAATTGTAGCCTTTCAACAATTTCTTTAAAAAGTAGAAGCTCCTGGGCTTTAACCAGTTCTTTGTTTTTCAAATGCCCATCCTGGTTATACATTCTGCCAGTGTTTCACAGAAAACAACAATCCTTTTCTCAGCTTCAAAGTGTTGAACCCTCATTAGTGTATCCTGTCACGGCAGTTCCGTGCTGATGTAACTTCACTGAGGATAGTGGAGGCAGTGTTTGCTTCCCCCCTGGTGGAAATGAGAGGATGTCTCTGCTCCCAGTATGAGAAGGAAGATCTGCTTACAGACCATGAAAGCACTTGTAACTGAGCCCTAGATTTTTACAGAAATAGCTTGGAATTTGGCTTATTTTTAACTATTCCCACTTCATGGAGATTTGAAAATGCTCCCTTTGTTCTGGGAATCAGCTGCACAAAATACTAAAGTAGTTTATTTTGGGCTTGAATTGAATCTGGGCACCTTGCTCCTGCAGAACTTCCTTGTAAGATTGCCAGAGCAAGGAGCCCAGGACTGGGCCATGTGTTTTATCACAAACCATTAGGAAATGGTGTTTTAGTGAAATAAAATTAAAAAACAGTAACTTTTTCAGCTGTGAAACTGTGTTTGATATAATGACAGAACAGGCTTCTGCATATTAGTTTTACTTAGAATTCCATTCATTGCTTTCCTAAAAGTTGCAGAAAAAGTACCTGTACTGATTTTATATATGCATACCTCTTTGTCTGAAAGGGTGCATTAGTAGTTTTTTCATAGGTGAAACAGACTTCCAGTATAATTTTTAACTTTTTTTTTTTTTTTTAAAAAGAAGGCTTTTAAATAAAAGCAAAATTGTAAGTGGTTTGGCATCTTGTGGAAAAGATGAGCCTGCATATTGAGGATGATATAGAAATTACCAGGTTTGTAAGAACTTTGTATGTGATAACCCTGCTGTTGGTGGTTTGGCGAGTTGTTTGTGGGTTTTTATGCCAACTTTCCTTTTTTTGTAAAGTATTAAATGCCCTTCAGTGGTCAGTAGCCCATGTTTGTTGACAATTTGAAGGTATTGTCTTTGCTTTGTCATTATATAACTGGCATGTTCAAATGTCTGTTCTTAATAGTAATTATGAATTCCTCCTGTTTTGCATGTCTGTACAGGTTGCAGACCTGGGCTGGACCCATTCAAAAAACAAATATCAGAAAAGCCACTTGAAATTACTACTTTTGTTGATGTCTTTGACATCTTGAAAATACTTCAAGTTAATGAAAATGGTGTGGTATTACAGAAAGAATTGTAACTTGCTGCTTCTAGGATTTTTTTTAACTTCTTTCACTTGTTTTAGTTTTACTTGAATGGAAGAACCACACTTGTTTTTTTAAAAAACACTATATAGTTGTGGATGTTGTTGCAGATTGTTGAATCGCAATTTAATTTTGCAATACATGTTTCATACAAATAATGAATTTGCATCTTTTTATTTTGTGCTGGAAGTTGTCTCAGTTTAGGTAGGGCTCTATCTGTCCAAAGTGATGTGTAACTCACCACCCCCACAGCTGGTGTTGGTTTGGGGTTTTTCTTTGTTTAATTTTACTTTTTTTTACATCTGTGTTAATGAAGGGAAGCCAACTGGAAACTGGCTGTAGAAGTTCTCTATTTGCATACACTAACCAAACCTATAGGTGCTCTGCTCTTTGAGAAATTCTGATTTCACTTTATGCTGATGCAACACTCAGTTCAGCAGAATTGCTCTGGATACACAATAGCATATGAAGTCAGAATTAGGCTATATTTGTATCAGAGTTCCAGATTATTTATTCCTATGATGCAGTATGAAAGGCTGTCATAAGGAGAAGAATGTTTAGTAGCAGCCCAGTTAAACACTTAATAATTTTATTTTGAAATAGTCTTTATTAACAAAGTAGTCTTTTCAGCTCTCCAAAAGTACGGTAACGTTGTCTACAGTTTGTTTCATTCTTGACACTTCAGTATTTTTGTTCCTTGCTAGCTTAAACGTTTCCTCTTCCTACTCTTTTGTAGCATACAGACTTGTTGAACCCACACTCAGGAAAAATAATTGTTCTTCATTTGCCAT